TTGAAGATAAAAGCACATTGTTTATTTTTTTAATTAGATTACATTAACCTCATTTATGCATAGTTCTTTTACTGTTCTTCCCAATAGCAACAGTGGAAAAAACCCCATTGTTTTAGAAGTGACTTCAAAAATGCAAAACATACGGTTCATACAGCATCCAGCAAGAGACAGAGTACCTGTTATTGGCTTTTAGCTTATTTTTATGAAACTGTCTGGCTTTCAGTTTGGAGACATTCTTTAATAACACCTATATTTTTCATTCTATAGTACATTCCTTTCAAGGACTTTAAATTGCTCAGGAGCTCTTGAAAATCCCGGTGAAAACCTTTGGATATATGAGAAGGTTTTTTTCCAGGTAGCTGACCGTCAATTAACTTGAGACACTCCACTCCTTCTAAAAGCCAGCGTGATCACTTTGGTTCCAGGCTGTTTGGTTCCTCTGGATTTGCCCCTCACTTTAAGGAATGAGCTTCTGTCAAGGAACAAGCATTTCTAAACTTGACTGCTGTTCGGAAAGGACTGGCTCCAGCCTTTCAGACATGCCTCATGTTAATATGTAATTAGCTTAAGGTAAGGAAAGGACCAGTGGAGGCAACCCTATAATGGCTAAGCAGTCTCAAATATAAGCAAAAGAGGCCACCCGTAGCATTAAAATCACATTCATCATAGAATTTAAATACAATGGGGCTACTTTTCAAGAAGACTTGTGGTTTTGTCTTTGTGCTTGACTTCTAAACCGGCAGGTTCACATGATGGGGAGTGTGCCAAAAACACAGGCTGTGACTTATTTCTGTTTGATATCTTATTTATATATTAATTAAATGGATAAACAGAAAAATTAACTGTCCAGGCCATAATTTCATCTAAAATAAACACTGACTAAAACTACAGCAACTTAGTGGATTGAGTGGATTAGTGAGATATCCTGGTATGTAATAGAAATAGAAACAGTTCTATTCCCCGGTTTAGTAATGCTTAAAATCTGCAATCCAGAGTCACTGCATGATGTGCAAATCCCTCACAAAATCTGCCTCCCTTTTTCAAGATCAGGATCCTTTGCCATACAGGGGAACCTTGAAGGTTGCCCCCATATAGCTTTGCATAGAAAATTTCTGTTTGGAGAACTGTTAATGTGTTTGACTTATTCAGATCATCTTTTCACCATTCTTGCTTATACCCTTCTTTACAGATGGTGCTGTCTACCTGTCCCCTAGATTTCTGCTGGACTTTGTACCTGGATAAATTTTGCTTTTTTAATTCCAATGTTTATATGTAAAATCTTCCCAATCTCTGCACAAGCTTCTCCTTGTTCTTGCCCTGCCTTGGTCTTGAGTCTGTGAAACATCATGTTCCTTTTAGCAGCCACACATTGAAAAGAAACAAGTCTTTTTCCTGAAAAAGCAAGAAATACTAAATCCATTCTGTTTTTTAAATGAATGAGAATTTGCTGATGAACATATTTTAGATCTTGGTGTGATATCCCTCCCTCTATCCACCTCACCTGATAGAAATCTGATCTAACTCTGCCATACACTTGTGTTAATGTGCATCCATCTGCGAAATTAGGCACTCGCATCCCTGCCCCTCGAGACCTCTTTCACAGGGTGCAAACAGAGTGAATCTCTTCTGACTTTTGTGCCTTCTTGGTAGATTTCCACACGTTGTAGCCAAGCTGGGGATTTGGCCCAGTATCTTTTTTAAACCCTGTGACCCAGACGTGGAGATTAAAAAAGAGTTATGTTATTGGATTAAACAGATACAAGAGCCGCTCACTGTATCAGCACGCAACACCTTAAAACTCCAGAAAGCAGCTCAGCATGTTAGTGGTGAAAATAGTCTCTAGGAAAGAGGGAAAATGCAAAGGAAGGTGATTGTTAACCTGCGCCATGGGCTGCAGTGCAAAAACCTGCTGCTCTGCTTGATCTACAAAGCAGCCACAGGGACATTATTTTCTCCTTTCTATAGTGTTATAATACTGGATACACTCGAGATCTGGTATACAAATCATGTAACTACACCTGCCTCTAAACGGAGAGATTTTGGCCCATCTTAGATAAATTTAGGTTAATGCCTCCATGGTGGGGTTTTTAAGGGGTTATGCTTGGTTATCCTATGAATGGTACCATCACCCACTTAAATCAATAGAACTTCAGAAATAAAAATACAAATAGATGAAAGCCAGACCTACAGGAAAACGATAGTAATTTCAGGCGTCATTTATATGCTTAATATTATACACATGCTTATGCTTTGTAATTTGGGCTCTAACTTGTGAGTTTGGTTACATAAGCAAGCTGGAGGAACCAGAGGCATTAGTGCTGTCGTACACTGCTGCAGCTGAAGACAGAGTTCCCCCAAATATTCATCAGGCACATTCTCAGAAGTTGTGCTGTCTCATAATGAAACAGCAGACATCAATGCACATATTTATGACACAAAAGGACTAATTATTATTATTATTCCACTGAGTTCCAGGTACTGTTTACATGCCTCTAATTTCAAAACAGCTTTGGCTGTTGTTTTTTTCCCCCATTTTTTTTCCAAACACAGAGAGCAACCATGAGCTTTGTGTGGCTGACTTTTCTTTTAATGAGTGAGGAGCAACAGAACAAGGGAGAGCCAGAGACAGAAAATACAGGCTTTGATTCCTCTAGAGAACTTGAGCAAAATATTCCACTGCTGTCAGTGGTACAGCTGTGCTGGCAGGATCCTTCACACAGATGAGGCTCCAGCCTCTACTTACATCTCACCGATGTGAGTGCCGGTTCCTAATCTGCATCGAGGCATTCTCACTGCAGCTGAACGAGTGGCTGCGCAGGTGAGAAATGTTTTGCTTCGTTCCCTAGCGCGGCCAGAGCTGCCCGTGTTTGTGGTCCCTCGTGGAGTCCCACAAACTGCTAGCTGCTTTCATCAAGGGATGCCTGTGATTCCGAAGCTGCAGTACGCAAGAAACCTGAATTAGAAGACATAGATGGCAGCACGCACTACATCATTAGTTTAAACCAGGCTGTTTAGTGGGGATATGTCATCAATTAGCTGCATATATCCTATACCTCTATTTTTATTTTTTTTTTTTCAGTTGAGAGACTTACTCACTTTGCAAATCAGCTTGGATACTGGAAAATCACAGGGTGCACTGGAGTCAGGGAAAATTGCTTGCGTGACTGTGGCACACTGTATTTGGCATACTCTACTGCCAGCAAGGAGTGTGCAGAAGGGGTGCAGCTCTCCTTTTGCGTGACCCAGTCAAGGAAATCAGCCCTTTCTAGAGACCTCCCTGGAGGTTGCTGTGCTGGCATTTGATCCCCTGGTAGCCTTTGCATAGGTGATGGGCTCCAAAGGTGTGCTGCCCAGTGACTGCCGTCTTAGCTTGTGGTGTAGGAAGGTGGGGTCCTGTGGCTGAGAAGGTCTGGGAGAGCAGGGCAGTGGGGACCGTTTGCTCTTCTTTGGTCCGTCTCCGCTGTTCCCAGCGCAGGGTTAGCACCACGGGACTTCTGTGAAACACAGATGGCCCAAAATCTCCTTTTCCCCGCTACTCTGCCTCCACAATGCAAATGGTATTTCGCAGCACAGAGGATCTGACTAAGTCTTCAGCAGGGGTTATATGAAAATGCCTAGCGAGTCTGCACGATGCTGTATCCTTTCATTAACAGAACGAGAGCGGATGCGGGGAGGAGAGCAGAGACGTGTTTGACTCACATATACCCGTTTGCCTGCAGGAGAAAAGCACCGGCTTTCGGTGCAGCGAGACCCACGGCGGGACGCGGCGTCGCCCTGCTCGTTTCTCCCGCCGCTCGGCCCAACCGTACTTTGTTCTCCAGCCGTGAGCGGGGCTGGCCGGCGCCGGGGCCCGCTCCGCTCTTTTGGGGAGCGGACAGAGAAGAGCAGCGCGATCCCGCACTCCCCGGCACCTGCCAGGCCACGCTCCCCTTGTGCTTCCTCCGGCAGCAGACGGCTGCTGAGAGCAAACGCCCCAAAAGCCGGGCCGAGCGACACCGGGGCCGGGGGCCGAGCCCCCGCCACCTTCCCCGGGGGGTGCGGAAAGCAGCCGCGGAGGGCCAAAGCCACGGCCCGGGCAGCGCCGGTGCCAACGCCGTGGGCTGCTTTGTCCGCGAGAAGGGCGCTCTTTGTGTGAAGATAAAAAATAGTTATAAAAAAATTTAAAAAGCGCCAACGTTTTAAAAGGAAAGAGAGAACAGCGGCAGGCAGCCCTCCCCGCCCCGGCAGCCGCGGGGCGAGGGGCCGGCTCCCGCCGGGCGGGCTGGGGGCCGGCCCCGCTCCCCGCGGGGGGCAGCCGGGCAGCCCCGGGCGGCCACCCCGCCGGCGGCGGCCGCTGCCCCGCGCCCGCCCGCTCCCCTCCGCCGCCCGGCGGCCGCCCGCCCGCCAGCCCGGGCTCCGCCGCCGTGTCTGCGGCATGGCCCCTCCTCCCCCACACCCCTTCCTTTAGGCTCCCCCCTCCCCAGCAAAGAAGAGGCCGTGCCGGTGTTTTTCCACTCAGCAGGATGGGTGATGCTCAAAGCTCCCTCATTAGACAACAGACACGAGAGGTCAGGAAGAAAGCGCTTATAAATTACCGTTTCCTCCCGCTCGGCGCTGCTAGTCGCGCCGCACCGCTCCGCCGGACGCGCCGCAGGGGCGCAGCGGCGCGCAGACACCGCGGGCAGCGGACGCAGGTACCGGCGCCTCCCGGGCGGGCGGCGGGGCTGGCGCGGAGAGGCGCGGATCCCACCCCCCCACCCCCCCCCCTCCCGCTGCCGGGGCGAACAAAGGGCGGCCGCTCCGCGCCGCTCCGCGCCCAGCGCAGCCGAACCGGGCCGGGGACGGCGGCGGCGTCCTCCCTTTGTCCGCGCCGACTCGGGGTGTCCCCGGGCGCGCTGTCCCTTCCCCCCCTCCATTTATTTATTCGTTCTTCTTCCCTCAATCCCCCCTCCTCCCCAGCTGTCTCTTTACCCCTCCGGGTTTTTTTTTTTTTTCCTCCCCCAGCGGTTATTTCCCGCCCCCCCACCTTGCGTTAACTTTTTTTCGCGATAACAGTTTGGAGCGATTCCCCCACTTGCTGGCGGCCCTCCAGCTCATCTACGGAGCACGCTTCTCTCCCCGGCTATTTTTGCCCTTTTTTTCTCGCCTTCCCACCCCACCCGCTGTATGTTTTCTGGCTGCTGTGCGCTAAGCTCAAGTGAAGAGGCTGATACAGGCAATGCTACATCTGATGCTAATGGGCCTACCTGGTGGGTAATACTGCTGCTGCTTCTTCCTTTATATTCCCCTCGTTTTCCTTTTACATTGTTGATTCCTGACGTGCTGGAATCAAAGTTGTGATTGGGGCTTGGAAATAAAAGGCAGGGATGCACAGGGCAGGTTACCGAGCTCAGTGTGGTGTGAAGGGGTGATAATTCTGGGTTTGCCTCGGGGTAACTCGGATCCAAAATTCACCCACTGGCTTTGAGATAATAAATGCCCATCTCTGCCTGATATTGTAACAGGCGGCATGTGGGAGGACTTGCAAGGTTTCCATATAAGAACATGGGAGAATTTATTTCACACAGGCAAAGAAATGTGCAGAGTGTGTGTTATTTATGAAATGGAAGGCAAGCTGTGTTTTCCTTAGACAGCACTGAGAGTGGCAAAACTTTGTATTTAGAAATTGTAAAAGCTGATTTCTGTTGTTTAGTAAGAGCTAGATTTAAAGGAAAGCACTGATGGAAAAAAAAAAAAAAAAAAAAGGAGTGGGAGAGGATCCAGAAAAACACGAAGAAATACAGCTCCACATGTATTCCAGCACTGTTTGTGCCAAGGTGTAAAGATGGAGTTTTTTGGTTAGTTCCCATTTTTTTAACCGTATTGGGAAAGGCATTAAGAAAATGTGCCGAGAGGAGCTGATTACGTTGATAGTGCTATTTTGGTAACCGCAATTTTTTTTTTTTTTTTTTTTTTTTTTATTGCTTGCATGTCACAATGTTTCAAGTTTTGGACTAGCAAAAAAGTGAGGCAGCCCTGATCCGGGACATGCCATCCGCTGTGTAATTTGGGTCTCGGTGACAGTTGCTACCGGTTTAGATTTTATGGCTTTAGGTTTGTGGGTAAATCAGCCCGTTAAAACCTGCTGCTGTGGAATTTGGAGGGGAGAGGCCTTGGTGAAAACCGTGATGGTTTTTGACAGCCGGGTACTTACCTCTGGGTCTGCATTTGGGCAAGCTGACTGCTTTTTGGCATTGCCTTTGCACGAGTATTACGGAAAGATTCCCCTGAAGGTTGTTGGGCTTTTTTTTAAAGCAGAATGTGTGAGCAGCTGAGGCAGACAGCAGCGTGACGGTGTCCCTCGCCTGCAGTCAGGCGAGGCTGAAGCACCAGTGTAGCAGGAGGATGTTTTTGTTGCCCTGGTTAAACTGACACTGGAAACTTTATTTCTGGCACTTTCAGAGATAGCATCTTTGTGTTTCCTCTTCAACTGTCTCTCCTCTGCTTTGCATATTTTTTTTTTTTTTTTTTTCTCCTTATTTGCCTGCGCCTCACCTTCTCTGTTCCTTCCCCTTCCCACCTCTCTCGGGGTTTGGGCTGCTTTGAGGCTGCACCCACAGGAGGGCGACAGACACCTTTCCCTCCCTGTGGGGTCCCGTGCTGCCCCGCGGGGGGGTGGGACACCCAGACCCCCCACGAGAGAAGAAAGGCCACTTCTGGATGTAATTTATTAACCTGCATCTTTTACTGTGCAGCGTTAGAGTTATTTTCTGCCATACCTTGCAAAAAGCAGGAGATTGCAGATGGCACTGTGTTATTTGGAGGTACCGGCAAGGTGGTTGCATGTTTGGGTGTGCTAGATGAAAATCCTGGGATTTTTGTTTGGTTGTTTATGGATCTTGGTCTAGAATCCAGTAGAAATTTGGAATGCTTCAAATGCTACCAATTCTTACTTTATTTTACTTTGCTGTAACCAGAAGGAAAATTTGGCATACTAATATGTTGGTAGTCGCTCATTTGTAGCTTTTGGGTGGGTTGCCTGGAGATTTCTTAAATGTCAGAGATGAAATGTTGGGGCTGTGGCAGGAGGCTTTGGTCTGTGTGAAATGCTGTTTGAAAAGAGGTGCAATGTTGCACTGCAAAAACAGGAAGACACTTTAGATTGGCTTAGTCTCATTGCACGGTGCTTGGGAAACCTCCTGTGCCTGAGCACAGTTCCGTTTGTAAAGCCACGGTGAAGCTCTTGTCTTACAGCTAATCATTGCAAATATTTCAATGAGTTTACATTAAATCAATACTCTGCCTAACCAAGATTGAGCTACATCTTGGTGGCTTCTACCCAAGTCCTGCGGGCTGGGTGTTCCCAAAGGGACTCCCAGGCACGAGGGAGCAGGCTGCCATGTTTCCCGGGCAGTGATGCTCCCAGGATTTTCATCAATGCACCTCAAGACTCTGCAGCAAACCCCAATTATTGCAATTTTGCCCCATCTGGGTTTTCAAATGCCCCATAGGGGCAATGGGGCAATGTCGTCCCAATCCCCCCCATGGCATTGTTGCCAGTTCCACCAGTATAGGGAGTCTCTGCAGTGGTGCCCTGTTCAGACTTTTAATCATGCTGGCAAAAGACTCTGAAAAGATTATGCTGATTTGTTTCTTTTAAATTTAACCATATTACAACACATAAAAATGTATGGGGAAGCCATGGTAGTTAAAGCCTTTTCCAAGTAATGCTTATTTGATTGGTCATACTAATAAATTGTAGATCATTTAAGAAGTGCAGCTTTGAATAGATTACTCAGTAGGATTAGTGCCCTCGACTTCTCATCACTAACTTAATTTATGTGACCAGAATGGATCAAGGTTATGTTTTTGAAAGTAATCCTGAGTCCAGTCCTCTTAGGTACTCCATACACAGAACTCAAGTTTATTCTAATGTCACTCTGGGGAGGCCGTTTGTGGGATTGGGACCTTGGCATTTGGAAGAAAAGCACGAGGATGAAAATGCAGTGGTTTAACATTTGTTGAATTTCTTCCATATATGCATATTTACTTGAATCCTCAGCTGTTGTAATGCCATGGATTTGAATTGATTTCTGCTAGCTGAGTATCATCCCAAGGCATGTGAACTCTAGGTAATACCCTTAGTTGTTTACAGAGTAGCTAATATTGATATAAGATAATGTGGTAGAAATTAAGTGAAACTGCCACTCTTCATTGTCTGTTTTTTCCCCCAAAACCTGCCATTGGAAGGACTACCATGCTGCCAGTCTGTGACTCTGAAACTGTGGCTGGTGTCCTACAGCATCTTCTGTATTTATATGTCTCTCTCTTTTTTTGCTTTTTTTTTTTTTTTTTTCCCAACGTATCTAGATTCTAGATTCACACCAGCAAAAAGCTGCTCAATGCCAGCTCTAGACCCTGCTCCAAGAGCATCCACCAAATTCACCAGCTATGTTGGTGGAAGGGGAGTGTGAAACAAATCCATGTTCTGCCAGCAAACTTTGGGTGGAGGCAGCGGGGCGGGTGGCTGTTAAGACCCCGGCGGGTATTGGGAAGACTCGTGCATTTTAGCAGTTACTGGGTTTCCTGTTGTGGTTCTGTCACCCAGAATGATCACAGCCCCCAAGAACGCCTTCACTGCTGTGGCTGCCTGACCTGGCTTTGAACGCAGTCGGTGCATTGAGCACTGGCATGGAAAAATGATTTAACTGTACCAAAACACAGCAGGAGTACCCTGCTTTAGGGTGTTGGTATAGGTACACTGCCTGTAGGTAGGAGAATAATTCATACATCGAGCCACAGGGGTTATCAGTGAGCTAGAATGTAGTTAAAAGTTCTTCCTTTTTCGCTTCAGATCATACGGCATGTGCATTTTATTTCACTGCTGCAGTGGAATTTCCTTACTCTTGACAGGGATATAGTCAAATTTTCTGTGATATCTCAAATAGGATGAAACAAGTGAGAAATGATCTCCTGTTCTGGCATTGGTACTATGTTCAGTGTCTTGGTATTCTTCAAATATAAGTTCATACTGATGAAATTCAGAAAATACTATGCATGATAACATTGAAGCATGTCTGACATATCTTGCTAGACTCATTTTTTTCCTTTAAAATTTTTTTTTTTTGCCTTTTCTTTTTCTCTTTTCCCAAACAGGAAGAGAAAATTCACTCAAGAGAGACTCTACTTCATGTAAGTGTTATTTATCCCTTTTTATGAAATTACAAAAGGGTAATAAAGCTCATGAAAATGTTAAAATACTGAACATTTACCATCTGTTTATAGAAACCAAGTATAGAACATGTAAAAATAGGCTGTAGTTATACAGTAGTAATGCTCAGCAACTGTTATCTTAAATCTATCTGTACAGTTCTTCTGTGCGTATCACTGCAGTATTTAGAAACCAATGCAAAGCACTTTGCAGACCTATAAGCAACATGCCTATAAAGTTGGTGTGTAAATCCTGGAGGAATAATGTTCAAGTGGTTTGCTCAAAGCAGACAAGACCCCGTGAGTGAGAGCTTGTTTTAGCACCCCAGAGTCCTTGATTCCCAAACCCTGTGACAAGAATCAGCTTCTCTGCCTTGGATCCTACAAAATCCAAGTTCTGCCTATAGAGCCATTTGTTCGCGTGCATGTGTACTAGTGTGTGCATGTATAAATGTGGGTAAGAGAGAGTGTGTATATGCGTATTTGGCCTCAAATAGCTGGTAGGTATTTCAGGCATTTTGTACAACCTATGGTGATACCCAGTAAAACAAGAGTAGATGCTACTAGCTGTTAGTGAATACTGTTGCAAATGTTTTGTGAAACCATCTAGACTGATCAGTCTGGGTGAGCCTGGTACAGTATTCTTCATGGGACCAAGAAAGCTGCATGTTATAACAATACAACAGTTTGTTGTTTTTTTTTTTTTTTTTTTCTACACCATCTAGTGACCTGGTTTGCTGGCAGATCTCAGATTTGAAAACTCTTGGAATAGTATAGGAAGCTCTGCTCTGGTATTTCTTCCTAGTAAATAAATCTGATTAAATGTTTTAAGGGGCTGCATAAATGAAGACTCTCATTGCCTTCATTCAAAATTAGTTTAGCAAGGAAAATGACTGCATTGTTCCCAATGCAGGGACCGCTTTGCATAACTTCCAAGCATGTACTGCGTCCAGTGGCATGGCAAGCCCATAAGCGCTCACCTCAGGCTGATTTCCCATAAGTCAACATTTTTTTTTTTTTGTTAAATAACCATGTATCTCAAAATTGCAGCACTCCATTATGCTTGCGTAGCAACTGCTGGTTAATATGTAGCAAAACGCTGTGTGGTAACAAATGTTTTTTTGCTATTGTTGAGCTGGAATGTTAGTTCAGCTTCTAGATAAAAGTGGCTTGCGCAAGGCGCCCCGGTAGACCATGATTTCTGTGGCTTGTATGGTAGTTCTGTAGGCAACTGTGTTCTGCTTTTCCTCTCCCCTCTGCTTCCCTTCATCTTCCACATGAGCAAGGGGTGGGCATAGTTAAAGGCAGGGAACTGGCAGCCCTTTGCATCCTGCAAATTACCAGTGTGGGGTTTATATTAAGCCCATTGCTAGTCAAGTATCTGTTGAAAACGCTCTTTATTCTGGTTATGTTGCTAGCAGAAACGTTGTAAGATGCTTTATTTAATATCTTTAAAGGACAAATGTTCTTTGGCTGGTTTTATGGATATGATAAGACAATCTTTTCTTAAAAAAAAAAAAAGAAAAAGAAAAAAAGCCAGTAGTAAGTGAAGCATACTCCACAGAGGATTAAAGAATCCTCCTTCCCTGCAGCTGGAATCCTAGCTGAGACTAGTGTAAGCGTTTGTATCTTTGAGAAGATACATCGCCATTTTTAAAAGGTAACAGAGAAGGAAAAAATCCAGAAGGCTTTTGATTATGACCATTTTCAACATTTGTAGCTTGTTATTATTTCATTCTAGTGTAGGAAATTCAAACCTCTTGAAAAGTCCAGATATTTTAAATGGGAAATAGTGCAACAAAGCCACCTTTAAGGGAAGAAGCTCCCAAATAGAGAAGAACCCAAACAGATGAACCCTACAGCAGTGACTATATGGTGTCTGGAAACTGCAGAATAAGTATGCAGTGCAGATCTGAAGAGCTTTGTCTGGAGATTTCAGTGTGACAAGTAATCGAGAGGTTCTTAAGTTTGACACATATACTCCAAAATGAATGAATAATGAAAAGTCTGTGGTCCAGAGGCCATGTGCGGTGCAGCCTTCCATCACCTGCTGTGGCTTTTCTACAGCTAACGGCAAGCTTAGAGCATCAGAGCCTCTCTCTTCTGGTTCTGTGCATGAAATATTACAACTTTGACTCAATAACTCTATTTGTGCCTGTCTGTGCGTTGGCTCCCCTTGGCTTCTTCAACTGTGTGAGTTTCCAAAAGAGAGTTAAACTCCAGGGATGGGAATAGCGAGTCTATAGCAAAATGGCAGGACTGTGAAGCATCCAGGACAGGGACCTCTCCCAGGCCCCGTTCAGAGGGGTTTGACTCCTGTGGCAGTGAATGCTCAGTGGGGACTAATCCCTCAGGACTGTGATGTGGACTGGTCACTGTGACAGGAGGTGACCACTTGGAGAAAGGACTCTGTGACAGTAACCAGCCATATGTAGTTGTAATGATAAGAAAGGGACCATCTTATTGTAGTCACTTTGCGACAAATACTACCACAATTCATTACTTTCCATCAGTGCCTCATCCTATGGAGGAATCACCACTGCCCATCTACATTGAGGAGGGGACAGAAGTCCCGATTGGTGAGTGCAGTTGGGATGGGATATGTTTAAGGGGGGGTATAATGGTACTTGGGTTTAATATTCCTCACGTTTGTGTATACCCATTTGTCATTGAAAATTGTAAGGCCTATTGCAAATGTTTTGGGGCTTTTATTTTATTTTCTCAATGCAAGCGTGTTTTAGAGCTCCTGAGTATTGTTAAATACTGCTAGTGTTGGCTTTCAACTAATCATAAATCAAAGGATTTGATTTATGCAGTGACATTGAAAGCTTCCATGCAGGATCTCTTAACACATGGCTGAGGAAGACCATGAGTATTAGAAGAGATAGTTCCCACTTCAGCCTTCAACCTCAGTGTTGAGGTATTCTGCTGGATGGGTCATCAGCTTTTGTCCTGCTGACACTGTCCTGCCTGGCACCCAGCAGAATCACGTTGCACATACTGAATAGCCAGAAGAGGGTTAGAGAAGTTTGCCGTTACCTACATTGCACATCAGAGTGCTGCACACCCCCATTTCTGGGCTCTGCTGTGGATATATTGTCACTACATGGATATATAGGTTTGGGTGGGCTTTTTTTTAAAAAAAATAGAGGAGCAGTCTTTCAGATAACCCATAAAGAAAGAGACTAGAAGATCAGTAAGTTGGTCTGTGGTGATCTCTTTAGACTATGGAAAGCTGTGACTGCAGCATTTCCCAGAGCCCCTTATTCAACCTGTTCCTGGTTGCATACCGTAAGTGTGCCTTGGCTACTACCTTGGGAATCTGCCCTGTTGTGCAGATGTGTCTCTTCAAATAAATTTTTCTTATTCTATATCCTGAATTTTTCCATTCCTAAATTCGAGCAATTGCTTCTTGTCCTACTATCTTTTGAGCTAGATTAATTACTTTCCTCTACACACAGTACCTTGAAGGTATTTATAGCTGGATCTCAGCCCAGGAGTCTTCTCATTTATAGACCATATTAATTTAGCTCTCTTACTCTCTCCTTAGATCATTTTTATTGTCCTTATTTGTATTCCTTTAATTTTTCTATCTCCTTTCTAATCTGTGGAGACTTGAACAACTCATACCATATCCACTGTGGTTGTTTTGATAGAGGAGCATTATGCTTTATATTTACTTATCATCCCTTCATGTGTACATATCCAGAAATAGCTTAGCTTCTGACCCTTCTCCTGCATCACTCAGTGGCATCACACAGAAACTGTATTACTTTGCTGATTTTACCTGCAGTCACCTTTAGGTCTTTTTTGGATTCATGGCTTTGCAGCTAGCTGCTGCTCAGGCAGTGTCACTGCTCTCCTGAGATATAGGGCTTTATACTTCCTAAATCCCCATCCCATTGCATGCCACTTACTTCTTTTACCCATGAACTATTTAAGACAGTATGCCTATGTATTTGTTTTAATGCCCTGGGATTTTATCATTTATGTAGAAGTTATTACTGTTTTATCATATATAGAACAAAGAAGTACTTACAATTTTATATTTTGATATGTTACAACTGTCCTCTGTACATTACTCCAGACTTCTTTCCCAGCTCCATCATACTTGTTTGCATTCCTTCCCTAACTTTTCCTTCCTCTAGTTATAGAAATTCATAATGTAAAAACTTACAGGTTTAGTCTTCTCCTTGTCTTTATTTTGTACCTTTTCTCATTATACACTTAGTATATTGTTGCTGTATCCTTTCTATGCATGCCATGATATGGTCTTTCCCACAGCAGATCATCTTTTCCTCACCTCTTCTGGGGTTGTTGTCAGTCGAACATCTGCTTGACATCAATCCCCTCTTGTAGAACCACTCAGGCCAAGTTCTGTCATGGCCCCTGGTATTTCATCTTGTCTTTCCCATTGCACTGAGGAAGCCTGGACTGCCGGGATGGTGGCACCCACTCCAAGAAAAATACTGTAAGACTGATGAATCACAAAACTGACCAAACAAACAAAAAATCCTGAGTGGAAAGCTTTTTAGAGGATGTTTGTTTGGTGCTGTCATGAAGCAGGTTTGTTGGATCAGGCTCTGAAATGCAGCAGTAGTGAAATTGACAAGCTGGGTTGGAGAGGGCATCGTGTTTACTTATTTTAAATAAGTATTTGGACTGTCAATACAGCAAGCTGTGGTTGAGGGAGAATGAGTAGAAAAAGTAAATGATGCGGAGATGAGAGCAGACCACAAACTCTGAGTTTGGTATTTGAATGCCTGACATGGGTCAGGGCTTTTATAATAGTTGGATGCAATATAAATCATCAAGCTAGGAAGTCAGTTGCAAAATTCTGATGTGGGTCTGGGTCTAAGTTTTGGTCCTACTTTCCATTGAGCTTACCAGTGTGATCCAGATCCATGGGGCCCACTTGTACCAGAATAGGAATAAAAGAAGTCCTGTCTGAGTTTAGGTTGGAGAAGAATAACATGCAGTGCAGTTGTTAAAACAATTCAGCACAATCATAATTTACTTCCAAAAGGTTGTTTGGAGAACTTAGGTTATTTCCTTATTTAAAACACATTTTGGATAGTATACGGAGTGCATAGTGTTCTGGCCCAAGCCTGACTGGTAGTGGTAGATAGCTTTGTAGCTTCTGTATTTATTAAAAAACCAGAGAAATCAGGATCTTTCAGAGTCTAAATTTAACAACGCTAATTATTTCAAGCAATTTAAAGAGGAACATAAATCTCCCTTGTTTGTTACATCTGCTTCATGAAAACAGCAGCTACAAATAATACCCTATAATGAAAATCTAGCTAATGCTGTCATGAATTAACCAGCAAGAGAACGAGTGTATGGGATTTGGATAAAGGCAGCATTTCCTTCTCTGAAAGGAGGGTCTTTGCGCTGAGGACAAAGAGGTTATTGCATAACTGGTGAAGTTAAAACTTTGACATTTCTGCATAGATTAACACAACTTTTGACTGAAAAAAGGTCTGAGCTCTGCTTAATTTTTATGTACTTTTGCACTTTCTTGAGTACATTCCTAGAGGAAGGTAGGTGAGTGAGATGTAACAACCATTAATAGATCAAAGATACTTTCGAGGAGATGGTGAATATTTTGTGAGCACTAGCAGAGAATCTACAGAATAACAATAAAAGAGTGCAGATTAGATGCTGGCAGTTTTGGTTCAGGCACAGTATCAACTGTCTTCCACAGAATTAAACAGATCAGGAGATACAAGGTATGGAAGTAGGCAGAGCAGGCCGTTATCCACCCTTGTCATTCATGCGAAGGTCATGGTCATATTCCCCAATCGCCGATTGAAACCTCTTGTGTTAAGCACTGAAGAAAACACCTGAGGCCACACAGTCCAAATATGCATTTTATAAAGCAAAAACCCAGGAACAAAATATTTGTGTTGGCAATCATTGTATTTGGCCCATACAGAACACCACCAAGGGAATAATTGCCTCTTCAGGGATCAGAGAGCAATAGAGCTGTAGGCTGAGATGTTTGTTTATGTTTTTTCTTCCAAGTTACATTTTGAGACGTTTGTGTTGTTTAATACCTGTGAAATTAGCTGCAAAGACATACAAATTCAGGATCTAATTCTCAACTGATTTACTCTAGCATAGCTTTGTTTATTCCAGTAGCATTGCTATTGCTTTATTGTTGTGTAAACAGTATCAGTCAGACCCCCTTTTTCAGGGTTCAGTTCTGCTGACCTTGAAACTTACATGGGCAGAATCCCAGTACTCCACTTCTGTCTTACTGATCCACTTTTGCTAACGAATAGCATTGGCTTCAGCGGACTTGTGTCAAATGTATAAAAGTGTTACGTAGACCTTGCCTACATAGGATGTTTTCCCCCGTTAAAGCATCTCAGCATGACAGAAAGTTCCATAAGCACTCTGAAGACATATCCTCTTGGTGGCACTCACAAGTCATGGTGTAGCCTGGGTTCATTTGAGTAACCTTGATTACGGGAGAAGAATTTTCTTGTAATCGCACAGTTTCTTCTGCTGCTAGTTGATATTTGTTTTGAAGCATCTCTGATGTCTTAATAATAAAAATTGGATTTCCAGTCTACTCCTGTTCTTGGGCTGACTCACTGAAAGACAGATGCTTTATTTTTTTATCTCCTTCAATAAAAGAGTTAGAACTGTTTTTTAAGCAGGGTAACTATAGGAAGTGCACCTTTCCCAGGAAGGGAGAATATTCGGCACCTTATGGAGGGCTGGCTCTGTATCTCTAGGAGGTTGCATTCCCTTGTAAGAGAAGAAAACCATTTCTGTTGTTCGCACTTCAGGGTTTGTTCTTTCATGGTGTGCTGGCACACAGAAAGCTTAATTTTTGCCAGGTGCTGAGTGCCTTCTGCAAGGTATTGAGTGCCCTCCTATCCTTTGCAGCCAAAAAGGAGTTGATTGCTCTTGGCATCAGGCAAATCTGGACCCAGAAGACCACAGGTAGTATTTACCAATTATTTATGTGCTTTTGCATGCCAGACATTGTCTGAATTGATTTCCCTAGCATACAAGAGATTTCAGGCATTAATGACACTTGCCAGCCACTAAAAACATTTTTTTTAAAATAATACTACATTAATAAGCATGACATTTATTGCATTGCCATAGGGAAATTAAAAAACCCCCAAATTAACTACAGTCCAAGTAACTATTAGCTCTCTAGAGCTATTGCAAATGTGTGAGTTATATACCCTGAATGAGCACCATATGCCAATTTATTGTGGCACACTGAGTCACAGGACACATTGTGGAAAGCAATAATTGCTTGGCATGCATTGTAACCTTCAGTGGGGCTTTTTGTTTGGTTTTCTTAAAGGAATATGTTTTTACTCTGACAATAAAATGAGTATCATCTGATACGCTGCCACCAGGGACTGTTGCTTATTTTGTACTTAACCTGGAGCTTATCCATTTGTCATTTGCTGCACACACCCTCTGTTATCTTTACCTTTCCAACCACTTGTACTATACGTGTGCAGTATCAAAATATGAAGATTGAGCTTTTTCTATTCATTGTTGTCTTGTCATTTTGTGTTAATCCTCTTTTCCTTTTTCCTCCTCA